ATTAACGGTAAATTAAGGTCAAAATTTTCAAAGTTTGACCGTACCCAACAAATGGCAATGGGACAAAAATAAAGGGATGGAGGGAGTATTTTTTGAATGCTTATTATCAATCAATGGATGTCTTCTATATTCTAAAAGCAGATTAAGTGGCCTGGGTTACAATGACATAGGAATAATGTTCACTTTTTAATTTCTCCAATACAATGGGGTAAAAAGTATAGTTACATGTTAATTGAAAAGGAAATATCTTCATAATATATAAATTAAAGTATTGTATTTTCCTAAAAATCTAATAAAATGATCATAGTCCAGGTGGGAATATTATTAAAACCTAAATTGAATACCAAGTCTTGAGGAGATCATTAATTAAAATAAGACCAATATATATAATCCAAGTTGATCAACTTTAATCCAACTTTTGGTAATTAAATTACTTCCACCAAAGAATTAGGATCTCATGCACTACAATACCCTACTCCCAACTTCTCATTTTTCTAGCCAAAAACATTAATTAAACCCATGGTTAATCTTGCAATTATTCCAGCAATTGCCATATTTGCTGTCTTTCTATGTTATGCTTGTTGTTGTTGCTGCCTAAGAAGAAATAGCAACAATACCCAAAGCCGTCGAACCACGTATGTGTTTGACATAGCCCCAAGATCAAGAGCAAGTAGTCCAACAACGTTACAGCCTCATCCACCACCACCACCACCAATTGAAGTGATTGGCCTCGACGAGGAAACAATCGATTCATTCCCAAGTATAGTGATAGGAGAGAGTGGAAGGATGATTAAACAACATGATAATACTTGCACCATTTGTTTATCCGAGTATACTCCTAAGGAAACGTTGAGGATCTTACCTATATGTTTGCATAGATTTCATGTTGATTGTATTGATCAATGGCTTCGATGTAATGGAACTTGCCCTATTTGCAGAATTCTTCCTCCCAATTCATAGTAGAGTATGTACATATCTTCTTTTTTATGTCTATTGGGTTGGTTTAATTTGATTGTTACAAGTTTTTGTTCAATTTTGAGCGATTTTGTTAATATAATCTAAGGTAGAATAATTATTGGTGATTAATTAATTAGTACCTAGTTGTATCTTGTATATATGATTGATATGATACATAATTTTACTTAAACCAAGTTGTATAATTATTGATAATTGATCTTTGATTAAAGTTGAGTAAAGTTTAAAATTGTTAAGAAAAATCCATGATCATAGGAAAAAGTCTAGGAGGAGACTTAGTTGAAACGTAACCCTGCTTGCACGACATCAAAATTAAAGACTTTTATTAGACATTCATTATTAGCATCTACAGCTATACAAGAAATAGTATGAAATTATTTAATAGAGTACGTATAAGAGTATATTCTTGTAGAAATCGAACATATTTGCCAGCGATGTATGTTCATTATTAATTGTTATGGTTCCATATTCATGTCATGAGAAGAATAATATCAAGCCATTGGGAGCGGATAATCATTAAGGTTCAAAGGGGCCCGAGCCCTAAAACTTTTTGTCTGATTGAGCGCAAGGAAAATAATTCACATGTGAGTTACATCAATTGTCCTACGTTGAAAAATAAGAGGGGGTGACCAACATATATGCAAGCTAGCTATTAACTGACACTCCTTTGACTTTGTAAGTAAATCGAACTCTCCAAATGGTGATCATCTCTCCGGGATACAACAAACTTTGGAAAATTTTCCAATCTTTACTTTTAATGATTAAAAATAATAGTAAAAAAAAAAATTGTAAGTATTTTATTACTTACAAATTATTGATACTTGTTGCTTCATTTTGAAGAAAGAATTAAGTTGTAACATCCACAAACTCCTTTTTTTTAGGTGGTTAGACTCTTAATCACTCAACCAAAGCAAACTTTTTGTGATCAAAAGCTTCAGCAGTGGGCTCAATATGGCGTATACGGGTCTTTATCTCAAATTGGGTCATACTGAGTGTAAGATTAGGCCCCAATTAATTTTGAATGAAGTGGCGAAAATTTAACAGCCCAGTGGACTAGAAGCCTTTGGAAAATCTTCTTGGGCCATACCAGCCCAATAGGGATCATACCATCCAAAAGAATGAAGTGAGTTGGCCCTTTGCCCTGTTTAAGGGGCTGATCTACTTGTAAGTTGTAACTTGTTTACTCTGTATCTCCGGGGCTCCGGTTATCTTATCTAATTCAATCCAAACTCGAGCCATTACGAAATATGAATATTGACATTATGTAACTCAAAAACTAATATTGTTTGGTTCTTTTTGTACTTCATGGCAAATTATTTGACAAATAACTAGTCGCGCAATTAAATTGATCGTGTAATTATAAAACATACATAAGAGTATAGGACCAACAAGTTTTCAAACCTGTTTTTAGTCGGGATATGATGAAAGAAAATAATGTTAATACAACTTTGAATTAGAAAACCCAAAATTAAACTAATTGAACAATTGCAAGTTGCAAGAATAATACAATTATTTCATGCAAGTGAGAATCATGATGACACAAACATTGTTGCATCTTGCATGAATCTTCAACTATATACAATCCATTGACTTCATTAATAAAAAACAAAATAGATTAGATCATGATTACTCTTTACATAATAACAAGCACCTATCAACTAATTACAAATGAAGTCAATGTTATGTAAAGACTAAATGATCATCACAAAAATCAAAACATACATCCCAAAATTAGAAGCTAAGTTGTATCATTCAACTTTACAAAAATATAATGCATATCCTCAAAAAACCAATCTTTTTCCTCCTATTTTTTTTGTTCTTAATCTCAACCAAATCCATGGAAAATAACACAAATCTTTCTGATCTTTGCTTGATTCAAGTATGCAGCTACCGCGAACCGGTCAATCGATACGTTCAATTTCCATTTCTACTTAGCAATGAGTCCCTTCCAAGGTCTTGTGGATATCCAGGGTTTGACTTGTTATGTAACAAAGATTATGAGCTACAAATCAACCTGCCTAATTCAGGGGTTTTCTCTGTTCAAGAAATAGATTATGTTCATCAAGAATTATGGCTTAATGATCCTGATAATTGTCTACCAAAAAGGCTTCTTTCACTTAATAATGCCTCAAATTTCTTTGGTAATAATTCTCCTTTTATTCCTGTTTTAGAACAGGATTACTGGTTTTTTAATTGCTCGAATGATTTCTTCAACTCTTCGGATGATCATCAAGTGAATCCAATCGAGTGCATAAGTGGGCAAAGTTATGGGGTTTTTGCTACTCCCTTAGAAAAAATTGTAAAGGGTAATTCTTCTTTATGTGTTAAAATAGGTCCTATAAAAGTTCCTATAAGAAAAAGGTCTAATAAAATTATGTACTCTTCTTCGGAACTTAAGGATGATATTATGCTCACTTGGGCTCAACCTCATGAGTGTAAGGAATGCTACAAAAGAGACGGGAATTGTAGGTTTAAGAACAATTCTAGCTTGGAAGTAGGATGCTTCAACCTTCCTCGCCGTGGTAAGTCCATTTAACTATCTATATTATTAAGCTATCTCTTTCGAGTTTTACCATATATATGTTCTAAAGGGTGAAAATGATCTCCAGTTCTCAAAACAACGGTCAGATGTGCATGATAGGGGGTTTTAACCTTTTTTTTGTTGTTGTCATTTTCTATGTTCAAATTATTTCTTATATTTTATTGGTTAAATCATCTTAGGTTTTTCAAGAGGAGCAATGATTGTTATTGCCTTTGCATTTGCAACACCATTGGTATTGGTTACTATATGCATTACATACTTCTCTATCAAGGCGGTATGCTTAAGAAGGAGAGCAACAAATGCAAGACTTACAAGCCTTATACTCACCTCAACAGTCACTCCGCAACCTCAACATGTCATTCATGGTCTCGACCAATCAATAATCGAGTCATACCCGAAAGTAGTCCTAGGTGAAAGTCGGAGACTGCCTAAGCCGGATGAAAAATGTTGTCCTATATGTTGGGTGAATATTTGGCTAAGGAGAGTTTAAGGACGATACCGGATTGTCACCATTGTTTCCATGCTGATTGCATTGATGAATGGCTTCTTTTGAATGCTTCTTGTCCTGTTTGTCGATATTCACCTTCCCAAATTCAAGAAAATAATACTTGATTAGCTTACTTAAGTTCATAGACTCGTAGCTATTGTATGTATAAAGTTTTTTAAGTCAAAATTGTAGATAGTTGATTAAGAAAATTGCAATACTATAAATGTAGGTTACAAATTTTAATGAGTAGAAGAATGAAACTATGAATCAATGCTCCTTCAATCCTTTTTTGTATATCAAGCAATATTGGTTATGTTGTTAGAAAAATATTGGACAATGTTAAACCTAACTCTTAAAAACTTGGTTAATTGATTTTTATTTTCAAATATAAAACAATAGAAAGATTTATGTTTGATTTCATTAATTATGCGGTTGTATGAGTTGTGTTACCTTTTTATTTATTTTTATTTTTTTCTCTTCTTGATTTAAGTTGGAACCAAATTGTTAGGCTTGGCCTATTCCTATTTGATTCATGAACTATTATTGGACCAACATCTAATAAATATACCCTTAATACAAAAAATGTACATCCCTTTATGTTGCGATTAAAAGGCAACCGAAGAAGAATGTGTTTCTAATTATTAATTAATTAAAATGTAGAAGACATTCATTGTGGGGAATTTTGTGATGGACAACCAAGTTTAGTTTTTGAAGCTTAAATTAATTTTGTTTGAACAAGTAGTAGCTTTATTAAAAACAAAATTTCTTAAGAAAATACAAACTTAATACATCAACTTGTAATTGATTAAGACCTAATAATTTGTTATATCATTATTTTAACCTTCCACCCTTCACTTTCATTGACACAATTAATAAACAAACCTTGTTAATGTTGATGTTCTTCGCACGTCAGCCAACATGTCTAGCTAGATTTAATTGTACCTCTACGTACCCTAAACAAAATTTATGATTTAATTTCATATTTTCTACCAACCATTATATTACTAAAGTCAATGATAATGAGCAAAAGATGAGGACTAATTGATAAGTATCAAAATATTGTAATGTTCAAGAACAAGAACAAGTCTTCAAAGTTGATACAAATGCAAATCCTCAAAATTTCAATCCTCTTCCTCCTAATTATAATCCTTTCGTTCTTAGGCACGACGAATTTCAATCATGAAAGCTCAAAGATGGTTGATCATTGCTTAATACAAGTATGTAGCTACAAAGAACCGGTGTCGCGGTACGTTCAATTTCCATTTGTGATCAAGAATGATTCCATGCCATGGTTTTGTGGGTATCCAGGGTTTGATTTGATATGCAATGGAAATGATAAGCTACTAATCGACCTACCTAATTTAGGATCTTTTTCTATTGAAGAAATTGACTATGTTAATCAAGTGTTATGGCTTAATGATCTTGATAATTGTCTTCCAAAAAAGCTTCTTTCGATTAATGGTTCAAGTTTTATGGGTAATAATTCTCCTTTTAATCCTTATTTAGAGCAAGATTATTGGTTTTATAATTGCTCTAATGATTTCTTTAATTCTTCGGATAATCTAAACATTACGCTAATTGGGTGTCTTAGTAGTACAAATTATGGGGTTTTTGCAAGTCTTAAGGAGAAAATTGTTGAGGGTAATTCCTCTTTGTGTAGAAAAATTGGACCTATTAAAGTTCCTATAGGACCCAATAAAGAGGACTATTCTTTAAATTTAAGGAGTGATATTAGGCTCACTTGGTCTCAACCTAATGAATGTGCGAAATGTTATGGGAGAAATGGTCGATGTAAGTTCAAGAACAATTCTAACGTGGAAGTGGAATGTTTCAATCTTCCTAACCATGGTAAGTTCCCCCTTTAATTATTTAATCACAATTTTAATTTCTATCCATGTACAAGTTTATCGTGTAAGGTAGATTGTTACGAATAAAGTTTGATCTAAAACTTTCTTTCACTAACTTACGTACTGTGATCAATTATTAGTCATTTGGTTTGCTAGCTTTTGATTCGGTTCAACTCAGCTCTACTCGATTTTAGTTATACTCAGGTGATGATAACTAGTGATCTAGCAAGTTTGGTTCCAAGTGAATTTAACCATTTTTTTAAAAAGTCTACTAGCTTATGGTTATTAGATTACTATTTTTAAGTTTTTAAAGGAGATATTATTTTTCTACTGGTCTTATCAAAATTGTTAGTATATTTTGAAAGCGGCTTACTTGGGTGATTAGTTGATTATAAGTTGTGAAAGTCGGTTTTATCAATCCTACCTTTACTTCATGGATGACTTAAGATGATAGTTATGTTTATATACTTAGTGTTTAAAATTGAGATATTTTGATATCACAAGTACATTTCTAATAAATTCACTCATACCTCTTTTATTTGTTTCCAGGGCTAACAAGACAAGCAATAATTGCCATTGCCTTGGCATTTGCTACACCATTAGTGTTGGTTACATTTTGTATGCTATACTTCATATTAAAGGCGGTTAATCAACGACGAGGGCTTGTAGGCGCTGCACTCGCCCAAGCAGGATCAGAGGATCCGCAGCCTCAAACTATTATCCAGCAGGGTCTAAATCGAGACATAATCGAGTCATACCCGAAGGTAGTCCTAGGTGAAAGTCGAAGACTACCCAAGGCAGATGACATGTATTGTCCAATATGTTTGGGTGAATACATGCCTAAGGAAAGCTTAAGGACAATACCAGATTGTGGTCATTGTTTTCATGTTGATTGCATTGATGAATGGCTTCAATTGAATGCATCTTGTCCTGTTTGTCGAAATTCTCCTTCTAAAACTACACAAAATAATGATTGATAATAAGTACATGTTGTACATAGTCTTTAAAAGTGCATATTGTACATATACGAAGTATGTTGTAGAATAATGGGAAAATGGTTGTACTTTGTACAAAATTTTGTTAGATTATGAATTGAAATAATACTCATTTTTTTTATACTCAAACAAATTAAACTCACAATTATTGACTAATTAATCTAAGTACAAATTGGTTTTGAAAATCCAACTTTAACCGATTTTCTTTAAATAATCCCAACTTTTGATTATTTTTTAATTATCCAAACTTACATATGTATCTTCCTAAAATAATCCAAAGTGTTATTTTTGCCTTTAAGTAATAAGGGTCTATTCTGATTGACTTAACTGAATAGATATTATTGGAGCTGAACTGAACTGAATAGAACTTATTGGAGCTGAACTGAACTGAAGTGAATATTTAATGAGCAGAGGAAATTATGAACTGAACTGAAAATAATCTGAAGAGAACATGTCCTAATAGTTCGAAAGAGTTCTAATTTGTATGTATTGTTTTTGTTATTTTTTTTTTTTTTTTGGTGGGCTGTTGTTAGCCATGTATGGTAATTGCAAAATAGGCCCAATTGAGGATAATATAAGATTTAAATAAGCCCATTAACAATTCACTACTTTCTTCAGGCTTTTCATATCGGCCCACAATTCACTAAATGGCTACCCACAACGGCGACATTTAGTAGCTCAAACCTTCAGCCCTTAAATTCGTTGTACTGTTAGCCATGTTGATGATGTTTAGTAGCGAATTTACAAGTATTTAAGATTCTGAGCTTGCTAGGTCGCACTTAGGTATTTGTATTGCAAATTCAGACTAGATCACTTTGCTACTATTGTTAGCAACAAATTCCTGAGGAGACGGAGAATATTACTATAGTTGGGCGGCAATAATAAACCACTTGCTTGCGAGCTGAGTTCCAACTACGATAATTAGCCCAAGGTCGTGGATGTATCCGTTAAACATATGAGATATCGGAAAATATATCACATACATATATTTTCCGATATCTCATATGTCTAACATATCCCATACTACGACTTGTGGTGTTCATTACTGTCATACAGAGACGCCAGGATCTTTATTTTTATTTTTATTTTAAGGAAAAATGAGCAGGTTTTTATTAAATTCAAATTGATTTACATCAAAGTTGCTAGGGGTTATATGAAAACTTGCTTTGATTCATACTTCTTCCGTTCTTTATTACTTGACCCGCTTTAACTTTTACACTATTCACCACCCCTCCTTTGACCGTCTTTTGTGAATAATATGTAAAGAAAAATATATTCATGTATGATCTTTTTGGATTTGTCTCATAAGTACTATCATTATATATAACTTTTATAATTTTTACCTATGGACAATTTAAGTTATTGATCGTCAAAGTTTTGCATTGGCAAGCGTGATAAAATAAATAAGTCAAGTAAAAAAGAACAAAGGAAGTAGATAATAATTGTACAAGTACATATAACTTTGTATTTGATCCATATCTTATTAAATTATCTCATCTTTTATGATTAATTCCATACCATACCTTATCCTTTTTTTTTTTAATAACAAAAATATTTCATTAATTAAAAGTCATACGACATTTACAATAGAGATTCAACGTTAACAAATACATAAGATATTGAATCAAATAGAATTTTCCTTTATAAAAACTACGATCGTCGAGTAGATCTTGCAATGCGGAGCATCTCCCGCTTATATCGCTGAAAATTACAGCCTTGTTGGAGAGACAATTTAACGATCCTTTGTAGCCGTAAGGATGTTTTCCTTCTGATTCATCTGTTCGTATTCGAAAACTTGATAACTTTTTCATTAACGAAATAATTTCACGACAATCCATTATATCTGCTACCATGGATTCAAAACTAAGAAATTTCTCCCTCGAAAAGAGGAGATAAACCTTGTCGTCTCTCAAAGGAGGTCGAAAAACCCTTGTCTTTCGAAGGAGATTGGAAACTCTTTCTTTCGAGAGAGAAAAGTTCCTCCCAAAAGGAGGAAGCATTATTATAAACCTAAAAAAACAATAAAGAAACAAGAATTGGGGCTTTCCACCGATTAAAATCGATGGAAGTCCTTTTAAAATTCAACAATGAAGGCTAGGATTTTGGAGAGAGAAAGGAGGAGAGAGAGGCAATGTCTATCTTTAATTCCATATATATATATATATAATTTTTCAAAAAGCAGCTTGTATTAATAAAATTGGAAGTACGGAGTATTCCAGAGGTTTGGTCAGTCATTTAACGGAGTATATATACTAATATACTATGCATTATTGTTGTACATAAAAGTTCTGTCATGGCCTTTTGTCCACTAATTAGTGACGAACTCCATGACACTCTTCACGGTTTGAAAATTTATTCAACACTTCCCCATAAAAATTGCATCAACGAAGTGAATCTCATCATATATATAAAACTGCTTCATACTTCAACGTGATGGTCCGTGGTCAATTCTCATCAAAAATTGAGGTGTAGGATTCAATTCTCATCAATTCATGACTTTTGATTACTTTTTTTTAATTGTTGGTAAGGAGAAAGGTCTTACTGGACCAAAACTTTACCGGATCAAAACTTCTCACAATTTTTTTCGTCCTGGATTAACAGGCTAGGTATTTTCTCTAGTAAAATTTGATCCCACAACCTAATAGTTAAGAGATGCAAACCTTACTACAATACTAAGGTTTGCTCAATATAACGTTGATATGTGAGAATGGGAGAAATACTCACTAATATGACTTTTATTTATTTTTGAGATAAGTTGAAAGTATCACGTAAAAAATAAAAGAGCCATTATAGAGGTGATTTTGTTATGTAAAATAGAAAAAAAAATGCGAGTAAAAAAAAATTGTCAATAATCTCTACTAGCATTACCTGCGGAAACTCTAACACCGTGAAAACTCTAACAAGCCTAAACTCAAACTTATGAGCTTATGTACTCGAATACTCGATGAGTTTAATCAATCATACTAAAATTTGAGTTTGGTCGAGCAACGACCAAACTGTATTTTGCATAGCTCAACTCAGCTCATTATTACAACTTATGTCACAAAAGATCCATGTAATTTAGATTACATTTTTTTCTCAAACAATAACCTCTCATAATTAGAATTTTAGATTATCCTGTTTGTATTTTTCATATTGAGAAATGAAAATGAATTTACTATACAATTTTTATGCATGTACCTGTATTTAGAAACAGAGTTGGAACAAATACATTGATCCAAACTTCAAGAAGTACGGGCCCCACAATCCTGTTCCAAGGACACGTAATCCAAATTATCATTATCAGAATCTCATCCTAGTGATCAAAAACTCCGCTTTTAAAGAATTCAACAGATTTCAATATCATAAAATATCCTAAAATTATTTATGTTGGTGCAAAAAATATCTTATAAGAAAAATCTTACGATTAAAATAATACGATATACTTCGTACAATATTACTTTTCAAAGGGCTAATTATGATAGTGTTACCTAATTAATATGACCATCTAACTAACGTACGTAACTCAACTAACGGAAGACAATCCAAATGCCGAAAGTCACTCGTGTCAGTTTATCTAATTTAACTTCTAAACTATTCACTATAAGTTTTTAATCTTTTGGTACTATTAGAACCGAATTCATGGACCAAATTTCATTTTTCTTTTGTTGATTTTGTTATGCGTGGTACAAACTTTAATCAAAATTAGATTAAGAGGTAGCTTCTTTTAGAGAATTTTATATCATTGAATGATTCGTGTTTTGTATGATTTGACTCTTAATAATACTTGTATTATTATATTGTATAATTAATGAACAAATAAAGTCACCAATTAGCATATGATGAATGAATAAGATAAAAATGAAAAAATAGGGTGATTAAATTAGCAATGTGGGAAAGCTGAATAGGATATGAATACTTATTAAAATAAGTGAAGTATTGTATTAGAAAATTAATGATTTTTACAGTTTTACTACTCCCTCCGTCCTAAAAAGAACGATCCATTTGGGTTGATTACGCGGGTATTAAGGAAGTTAAGTAAAAAGAAGTAAATGTATATGGAAAGATAAATTTACATGGGGTTTGTAAAAAAATAGAGAGAGAAAGTAATAAAATAACATGGAAAATGAAATTTTTATATGGGGAAGCTAATTTTGCACAAATATTGTTGCAAATTGGTGGTGTTTTAATGCAAACGGATCATTCTTTTTGGGACAAAGTTTTGGCAAAATGAGTCGTTCTTTTTGGGACGGAGAGAGTAATATAAACCACTTCTAACTTCGTTTCAACATATTTTATCACTTAATGTCTTATATTCATGCGTCTTATATTCATGCGAAGTATAAGGCAATAAGTCAAACATAGTACGAGTAACTTTTATTCTCCTTAAAAGATATGGGTGTCATGGTTTTGGACTTATGGCCAGTCCACCCGTAAGCCGTAAACCCACCATTGCAATATTGCATGCAACTAGATGAATAATGATGCAAGGTGATAATTTTAATCCTATGTATTGCATTTGCAATGCAACCATTTTATGTCATCACTTAATAAGTGGAAAGTATGGTGTAACTTACATGTATTAAGAAAGAGCATGCATCATAAAAAAGGATAACGAATTGGAGATTTAATTACGTCTTAACTACACTATAAAACCTTGTCAATAATAAAAAAAAAAAAACTACACTATAAACCGGATTCACGTAAGTCCGTTATACGCAAAACTTTCTCATATACTTCATAGTTTATCAATTTAAGATTTAATTACGTCTTAACTACACAAAAATCACTACTTCAATATTTTTCCGTGGCCCGTTTAGTTTTACCTTCACCTCTCAGTAGTCTAAAAATCCTACAAATGGAGAAGGAAAAAAGAAGGTTGATCCACCAGCTCAACTAAAAGCATTTGTCTAATGTGTTTATCGAGTAAGAAATGTATCCTAGACATTACTTTTAGAAGAGTCTTACAAATTTAAAATATTTCTTGTTCGTACTTAACCTGTCGATATTTGGCATTTGGAAAGTTAATTTGACTCTTAATTAATTAGCATCTTGATTGATATTTTATTATTGGAATGGTAAGCTTAGAATTAGCTGGTAGCTGGCACT